TATATATATATATATATATAAGCTCGCCCCCCCTTATAATTTCAGCAACCTTCCTGTGGGACGTGTATAGAATATCTGCATGAAAGTTGGCAAAGCACACAAGGATTCATTGTGTTGTTGGTTTTTCCCCCACTCCGAAGCACACAGATCTCATTCCCAGCATGATTCAGCATTTTGCTGCTTTCATAATGTTATTTCAGTGCAAACCACATGGTGGCTTGTAGTCATGCATTTCAAAGCCTTCCCTGCTGGAGCATCATCACAAGCATGGACTGATATTTACAAATGAGATGAAATGGTCATTATTTATTTCCGACAGTCTTTTGTTTTCATTTTATAGCATATCTTGGCAACGGTTTGTGGGTTGATTTTTTTTTTTTTTTTTTATGGTGGGGGGATCAGATTTCAGCTTTGATGTGTTGCCATGCAAATAATATTTGCACAGTGCTTTCAGAATCCTGAGTGCTGGTGTTGACTTGACACGTCATATTTTTCAGTTCTATTCAATTTTTCAATCCTCAGAGTGATATCTTTTTTTGGGGGGGGCACTTTCAGAGCAGTGTGTATGAGCGGTATAGCTCGCTGATACAGACAGGCAGGAGCAAAGAAAGCATGTCTGCTGTGAACCGGTACTCGGAGACCACTACTGGCATTAAAATGTCTTAAATCAACCTATCAAAAGACTTGAATATATGAACACAAGTAGGATTTTAGCATTGTAAATCGTCTTGAATCGCAAAATTAATTAAATATTTTCCAAAAAAGAATTCATCTGATGACTCTCGTGGTAACATCATGTGCTTTTAATTTGGGCTCTTCCACTCAGATGCCCGTCATTTACGTATTAAAACAACTTGGACAACCTGGGACATTGGGAACATTAGGAAGTAGATCTTGAAATTTAATTTCAAATGGAATTAAAAAGTCCCGATTTTAAATTGTTTTAGGATGAAGGAACTCTGTATTGAGTTTTAAAATCAAAACAATGAATAATCTGTTGGAAGTGTTTCCCCATATCTCTCAACACCAGCTTGACATCACCTGGATCTGACTCCACCTTCAAGCTGTATAAAGGAGGTTGAATCAATTTCTCCCTCAAGAGGGACTCGGCACCGACAGCCGAAGGGATCTCATATCACCTGCGAAGCAGCGCACAATCCGACACACAGAGGGCCTTCTCTCCCCAAACGATGGCCTCTTCCGGCGTGGAGATCCTGGGCCTGACGCTGGCCGTGGCGGGCTGGCTGGGTGTGATGGTGACATGCGGTCTTCCCATGTGGCGCGTGGCCGCCTACGTGGGCCAGAACGTGGTGCTGTCTCAGGTGATCTGGGAGGGCCTTTGGATGAACTGCTCGGTGCAGAGCACGGGTCAGATGCACTGCAAAGTCCACGACTCCATGCTGGGGCTGCCCCGGGACCTCCAGGCAGCCCGAGCCCTGGTGGTGGTCTCACTGGTGCTGGCTGGAGTTGGCGTGGCCCTGGCCACAGCAGGGGCTCAGTGCACCGACTGCAGCGATGACGTGAGGGGAAAATGGCGTGTGGCGGCGGCCGGGGGGCTCTCTTTGACACTGGCTGGGGTTCTGACGCTGGCGGCCGTGTCCTGGACGGCTCACGCCATCGTGTTGGACTTCCACGATCCGCTCATGGAGCAGACGGGGAAGCGTGATTTCGGCAATGCGCTCTATTTTGGCTGGGCCGCCTCATGCCTGCTCATCCTGGGGGGGGCGCTGCTGTGGTGCACCTGTAGCCGTCGGACTGACAGGGGGCCCATCCAGTTGAACTACTCGGCTGTTTCTCGGCGTGGATATGATAGACGAGACTACGTGTGATGAACGTGTGGCCAATGTGACCAGCGGGGGGCAACGGGCAGTGGGTGAACATTTGAAGGAAATTTGACCTGTTTTTTTTTTGGGGGGGGGGGTTGCTAGGTGTCTGTGGTGATGGGTGTCATTGTTTCCTTTTATATTCTATGTCAGTGGGGTACGAGTGCCTTTTCAAGAGGTGGACCCAATTTCAAGTGTAATAGTGGTCTGGGCAAATAATAAACAGTGATGCCTTGAGCTAATTGCAATCGCTCATATTTCATTTTTCATCATTGAAATAAATGGAAATGCCTTTAATTTTTATGATGATTTTTTTTTCCATCAGAAAAATAGCACTCTGTAATATCGTGCTTGATAAAAACAAACATTTAATGACATACTGTATTTAAATAGAATGTAAAGAATGAAACCGTTGTGATCACATTTTTTTTTTTTTTGCTTCAATTCAATGCACATTCGGTTGCTCCTTCTGGCATGGACGCTTTGGCCACTTGAGGGCAGTATAATACAGACATGAATCCACATGAAGCCAATCAGTACTCAGTAAGCTGCAATAATATAGGGTGTTGTTGTTTTGTTTTTTTTGCAGAGGATAAAAAATATAAGCCTGTGAGTTACATTGTTTGTGTTTGAATATTCTTTGCTTAAAAGGTTTATAATGCTGCAACTATTATTTGCGATGTATTGGCCTGCGAATGGGGTTTCCCACATTGCATTAGCATACAGCTAATGCAGGCATTCTTAAAGATGTTTGGTTGTCTTAGATATACAGTAAATACTCTGTAATTCGCTTAAAAATACTCAACTATTTGTTGTTAGAACAAAAACAATATTGTTTTAAGTGACATGAGATTTTCAGAATCTGAATCAGAATCGCCTTTATTGTCATTGTATAGCATACAACGAAATTTGGGTGCCACTCCTTAGTGCATTTTGTAAAAAAAAAAAAAAAAAAAAGATTTGGTGAAAAAACAGTTTAATAAATACAGATTTTATTCAGACAAAAGTAGTCCTTTGTAAAAAAAAAAAATAGAATAAAATAACGGTTTCATAAATACAGATTTTATTCAGACAAAAGTAGTCCTTTGCTTCTATGTGATGGCATTCATAGGCAATTACAAAGTCTTTTGTGGGGGGCGGGGGTGTGAATTTTACTTGTAGATGCATTTTCTATTCGCAGCAGGGCTCAGCGTGGATTCACTGGACATCATGGGCTATAACAGGCTTCTTTTAACTTTTTTTTGGGGGGGGGGATTGAAACTTTATTTTGAGGCCTTTATTGACTATAGCCAAATATTTTATGTTTTTGTGTTTGAGGGTGCGTGGAGGGGGTGCGCCAACTCTGTGGGGATGCTGAAGAAGGTGCGTGGCTTAAAAAAATTGGCAGCTATTCATTCATGTCATGCAAGAATGCAGATTTTTAGACAATTGTATTTGATTGCGGGTGACAGAAAATGAAATCGGCTGTCAATGGTAGCATTTAAAGTCATAACATCATGTGGTATCCATTTAGTTCTCCACTTCCACAATGATAACCACCTCACCTATGTCAGTTGCGATGCAGAAAGAGCACAAATACCAGATGCAACCCCCCACCATGAGATATTTAGTTTCGGGGAAAACTGAGCAAGGAGACAAAGGGGAGCTTGTTGGCCTCGTCTTCCTTTGTAACTTGTCCCGAAACCCGGTCTGGGATAATCGGCCAAATGTGCAACAGAAACCCTCACAAAGATTTCATTCATCACCTGGTCCCACTTATACCCTCACCCATACCCCAAATGGGACTCTGTAAAAAAATAATAAATGTAAGTCATTCAGTCCAAATGTGCGACTGAGTAGGACTGGAACATTTTGAAAAATAATCTAATTGCAATTCTTCCCAATCAATATTGCATATGCGATACGTTTATATTCTCCCCTCACCCCCATGTACATTTTAACAAACACAAGCAATACTTTTTTCTGTATTACAATGAACAATAATAAAATGTATTATTCATACACATATTTGGCTTTTAGGCTTCTGCTATAATTAAGGCAAAGTTTTTGCGATTAAAAAAATTGCATTCCACTACACAGTGAAGTCGATTTGAATTCAACAAATTTTTTAGCCTCACTATTGATTGACCTACATAGTGCACTCTAAACAAACAAAAGTGGCCTACTTGGCTGTTTTTTGAAGTTGTTGCGTTGTAAACTAAACATGCTTTAGTTCCAGTATGAGGTCAACTACCGTACAGGTTTGTTTCCGAATGTGCGCGAAAATTCATCACTTCAAAAGAATGTATTATGAATGTACTTTATAATTGCTTGTATACAGATAATTGGGCCTCAAGATAATAGGTATTCCCTTCCACTTCTTTTGATCACTTACAGTCGAGATTTTATTTCCAAAGAGAGACAAGAGACAATCTTAACGTCAACTATACATAACAACTTGACTATTTTTGAGAAACAAAAAAGTGACAAGACAGTTCCTAAACAATAAAAAATTGCATGGATCTGTGTAATTAGACTTGCGCTGAGGATGAAAATAGGACCCCTGATTTTAAAATAAAAAAAATACATATTCTTCGAAGAAAAAAAAGTTGTAATGTTATCACATGTTGTAGTTTTCCAAAACAAAGCAATAAAATTATCATCTCCCTAATCCCCCTCTATTTGTAGACAATATGGACTAAGCCTTACAATGAATGGAGAAAAACTAATGTAATTGAAACCCCCTGAAAAACCTTTATGATTGTCTATATTAATAATTTAAACCACAAATATAACACAAACTATGATCCCAAAACTGGTGAATATCATTTGCAACACCCTTACCTTACCCTTGAAAATAAATGACTTGCAGATGATATTTTGGAATTAAAAAATAATAATAATAATAAGGCACCGGCAAAAACATACACATGTAGCAAAGACTCTCTAATAACAACCCTGGCTAAATTTAGCGCCTTTCAAACATACAAAGTTTGTCACTTAATCAAGAGGTACCACTTCAATACATTTGCATGAAACCAATGTACTACATTCCTATCACAGAGGGCTTTGGCACCATCTTGTGTCATCTAAGTTCAGAAAAAGCACCAAGGCTGCAAAGAGATGAGCTTTCAACGAAAAAGTTGGGATATGTTCACAAAAAAAAAAGATTTGGTGAAAAAAAAAAATCATATTGAAACAGGAAGTAGACACACTTTAGTGCTTCAGTGGGCTACAAAAAATGATGTTTTGGGCCAGATCTGGCCTGGACTTTGAGTTTGACACCTGTTAGCCAGTGGTGAGTTTGCTCATGTGCCATTCATCTGCAGTCTTGGCATGGAGGGGTGAACATCGGATCATCTTGAGGGAGTATCAGAGTCTCCAATAACTCCAGAAAAAGTGACTAATTTGTTGCTTATCACTTTCAAAATAAATGAAAAAAAGTCACTCAAGGGGTAAGAAAGTCTCCCAAAAACAAGGTAAAGCAGTAGAAATCTTGTAACAAAGTTTGTTTAGAACCAGGCTGTGCATGTGATGCATAAAACGACCTGAGGGCAAATAAATAAAACACTGTGACCTTCAAAACAAGGACACTGATAAGCCCCCCTCTATCCCCTCCCACCATCTGGCACCAGTGTGCACACAGGTAATTGTCTATTTACTTCCTGAAAAGAATTGTGTGCACATTCAAACCTTTTCACCCAGGAGGAAATTGCCTTAAAGATGATGTCAGAATGACTGGTCACTTCATTATGCACACAGGTTTAATGAATGTCAATGAAAGAGCAAAGTCCACAATTCTCCCAGGACAAGGACGAAACCGCTCAGATTACTGGCATTTTTGTAGACTGTTGACCTATTGGTGGATGGATTAATCGACAACTAATCGATTTCTTATAATGTTATACGTTATATGGAAAATGGCGGCATGGTGGTCGACTGGTTTGCACGTCCGCCTCACAGTGCAGAGGCCAAGGGTTTAATTCCAGGCTATGTGGAATTTGCATGTTTGCCCCGTGCCTGTGTGGGTTTTCTCCGGGTACTTCATTTTTGTCTGCAATACTCTATTGTACTTTACTGCCCCCTGGTGGCCAAGGCACGTTGAATTGCAGCATTCAATCATGCTGTTTGAACTGTTTAATTCTTGACATTCTATTCAGTTATGTTATTACTCTATATGTTTATAAACTGAAATATTTTGGAGTGCTATTTTTTTCCACAAACACTTTTTGTTTGTTTTTTGCGGGGGAGCTGGAATGGATTTATGACATTTACATATGAGTTGAATCTCAAGGCAGCACTGTATTTCCTGTGAACAATATGGCTTCCAGATCTCAGGGAGAATGACTTGTGTTGACCTTTAGATCAGTGATTCCCAACCTTGGCATATATTTTACGTTTGAAAAATCGCACGGCACACAACCAAACAGAATTGTGACCAAAAGAGGATACATATGTCAATTTCATACTTTTTGCCATCTCATAGAAGATCATTTATTTGTTCTTTCTGTCATTATAAATTGCTGGCATAGATCGAGGGGCTAAGATACGTGATTTGTTATTAATAAATAATTTTCTCACCAACAAAGTTCTGTTCGAACTCACACGGCACACTAATGTGCCCCAGCACAATGGTTGGGAATCACTGCTTTAGAGGTTCCGCTAGCTGAAAAAAGGGGAGTCGGCATACCAGATAGTTTTGGGTGCTGATATTCACTTTCAATCATTCATCGGCAGGTTTTTGACCACCTCTGTTACTTTTTAACCACTCCATATCTCAGATAGCCACTTTGTATGTGCTCTCCCCTCACCCAAAACAGGTGGGAGCGCTACTGAGGAGTTGAATGATTAAGCCAAGGCCGTTTTCCTGAGCCAAAGCTGCAATTTTATTTATTTTTTGGCGGGGGGAGGGGGGTGGGGGGTTCCACCACAGAGTCTGACAGTTTGAATTTTGAGACTCCACCTTCTGCCGCCTATATGAACGATTGGGCCCGTTGACGGCACAACGAGAGGACAACGAGAAGACATGCCTTCGGCCGGACTGGAGATACTCGGAGTGGTGCTGGCCGTCCTGGGATGGATCCTGGGCCTGACGTCGTGCGTTCTGCCAATGTGGAGAGTGTCGGCCTTCATCGGTGTCAACATTGTCACGGCGCAGACCATCTGGGAGGGTATCTGGATGAATTGCGTGGTGCAGAGCACGGGTCAGATGCAGTGTAAGATCCACGACTCCATGTTGGCCCTCAGCGGCGATCTGCAGGCCGCTCGGGCTCTCACCATCATCTCCATAGTGGTGGGCCTGTTGGGGATTCTGATGTCCATGATGGGGGCCAAGTGCACCAATTGTGTGGAGGAGGAGCGGGCCAAAGCTCGGGTGATGATCGGGGCCGGGGCGGCGTTCATCTTGGCGTCTGTGACCCAGCTCATCCCGGTGTCGTGGTCGGCCAACGCCATCATCATGGAGTTCTACAATCCCGTCATCCCTGAGGCCCAGAAGAGGGAGATCGGTGCAGCTCTGTACGCCGGTTGGGCCGCCGCCGCCTTCCTGCTACTGGCGTGGATCCATCTCATCTGATAAAGATATTTGTATGTCGGCAAAGGCGTTCTCGCACTTCCAGTGCATTTTTCTTTTTAAAAAATCAAATCGAGGTCATGTTGGAAGATCATTTTGAAGTGTTTTGTCATCAGACTGTAGTTTGTGGTTGAAGCTGTACCAGTATCGGTGCCGTCTGTTATCAGACTCGAAAAAATCAACAGCACTTTACCATCTTGGCAGAACATCCTGGCAGGTGAAGGAGGCTATGTTGGTCAAGTCGAGATGTATTACGATGAACACTGATGAAATCACTTTGTTTGCTCGCTCTGCAAAATGAATGATAAACTCAACTCGGGCAGCGACTGAAGTTCTCGAGTCCCAGCTCTGCTCCGGCCGAGCCGGCTGCATGTTATATTTGAGCGGAACTTATGCCGTGACCTAGAACAGTTTTGTTTTTGAACCAGATTTGATTAAAATAAAACACTTTTTCATCATACGTATTTTAATTTCTATCTGCAACCTCTCATAACGTAAGTGAAGGAATAATTCTGCGTACTCCTGTCTTCACATGTTTTTAGTTATCATACATTCTTTATATTCATGTGTTTAATTCCCACATATTCTTATATTAATGATGATTGTTTTTGCTGGCTATGTGCAAAGAAAGAACCGCTTGCTGTTAAGAATCACTTCCCCCATAGCAGATAGAAACAGGTTTAATTCCCACGTATCCTTATGTGAATGATGATTGTTTTTGCTGGCTATGTGCAAAGAAAGAACTGCTTGCTGTTAAGAATCACTTCCCCCATAGCAGATAGAAACAGGGCTGTTTCACATGTGCCCAGATTATTCATATATTGAAATAAATTTTCGTGTTTCCGACCACAGTACCACCCCCGATCCCTATGTTGGAAACACCCATGTAACTAGGACCTCTTGAAGCTAATAAAAGGGATATCCGCGGAAGAATCAGTTGGGCAACGTTGATAGAAACAACTTGACTGTTTCTCTTCGTATCCCCCTGGCGCCAGTGTCAAGAGTCATCCTTTCTCCCTCTGTTTTTTGAATGTTTAATTGATAAACGTGACAGGAAGTACTTGTAGTCACTATTGTTTTTGCTGGCTATGTGCAAAGAAAGAACTGCTTGCTGTTAAGAATCACTTCCCCCATAGCAGATAGAAACAGGGCTGAGAAGAATGCAGACATTTATCTGCTAAAGCCGGTTTCACATGTGCCTAGATTATTCATATATTGAAATAAATCTTCGTGTTTCCGACCACACTACCACCCCCGATCCCTATGTTGGAAACCCACATGTAATTAGGACCTCCTGAAGCTAATAAAAGGGATATCCGCGGAAGAATCAGTTGGGCAACGTTGATAGAAACAACTTGACTGTTTCTCTGCGTATCCCCCTGGCGCCAGTGTCAAGAGTCATCCTTTCTCCCTCTGTTTTTTGAATGTTTAATTGATAAACGTGACAGGAAGTACTTGTAGTCACTCATAAAATAAAGTGGTATTGTTGCATGCCTAGTTTGAACTACCATTTAAGTACATTCTGAACATTTTGGGGTAGCGTCACTTATTCAGGTTTTTGCTGTGGGTGGAAGGGGTTGGTCCCTATCAAACGGAATTTTTTTTATGATTATAAACTCACAGTTTTGTTCTCAAGTGAAAGTCTGTAATATACACTATGTTTACTTTGTATTAAAGATTTGTTTGGATGGTGAATGCCTGAATCTTCATTGTTTATTTTAGGACCCCTGACACTACAAAAGTCTGTACAAAGGGTCTGAGGTTGGACTTGAGTCTTTAGTTGTGCCTGAATTTTACTTCTTCCAATCAACACATTTGGCGATCACAAAATTCTTCCAACTTTGTGGTAACAGTTTGTAGAAGGTTATCTTGTGTTCCCCTAGCTTGACCCGAGCCACTATTCAATCACGGTTTTTAAGTTCAAAATTTGTTTCTGGAATGTAAACGGTGTTTTTCATTTCAACTGAAAACTCTTCAGAAGTACTTTGAACCGAATGGGGGCTTCTGCAGCATCAGAGCAGCAGCCGTCTACCTGGCTGTTTGCTCCCCGAGATAACAAAAATGTTCGTCAGCTCCTTAACAAAGGACTTGCTTCATGGTTGAGAGAAAGGAAGGGGGGCAAGGGGAGGACAGAAGGCAGACAGTGGTGGTGGTGGTGGTGGTGGTGGAGAGGTGGCTCCATTTCTAGAGAGACGGTCACTCCGCTAAAAGAATTCCAAGGGCATCCCGCAGACACACAGCGATTAAAGGCCATAAAACACTGTTTGCTGGCATGTGAAGAGTGCCCGGGCCAAGTGTGAGAAAGTTCTTGAGTCCTTGCCCATAACCGTGATGTGTGAGTACGAAACTCATCACGCTGTAAAACATTCAAATCCAAATTTCTGTAAATGCCTCGTCGTCAATGCTCATATGACATTTGTTCCCTAAATTCAAAACTACATTGAAAATAAAACTTCCTTCTTTTTGGAATCCATGTTGGACTTCCTCCTTCTTCACTGCCAACCAATGAAATTCTCTTTAGGTGACCACATGCACTCATGAGGTCTTCGGTAGGGACTGACTTGATCATAATATTTAATCAAACTGGGATTGAGTCCTGAGCTGAACCTGAATCTTATAGGGACACAAAATTTACTTAGCCATGTTAGCAATAAAAGTTCAATATTTTGTCTATAATCAATTTGATTACTTATTTAATTGTCAAGTACATTCAATGACTTAAAACGGTCTTAAACAATGTGTCAAAAATACAGCCCGCGGGCCGGAACCGGCCCCCAGGAGGTTCAATCAGGCCCGCAGGATCATTTAAAAGTGAAAAAATGCATAGACCTTAGTTTCTAAGGTGTAGGCAGGGATTACATTTAGATTTTATATGCACATGTGTAAATGGTTTAAAAATTCCTTTCTTTATCAATCTCGTTTAATCTTACAAGTGCATTGCTATATTTTTCAATACCATATTACTAGAAGTTTTGTGCCTTAGTACAATCAGTGGGATCTGTTGCAATGCATATATGTGAATGATAAAAAAGTAAATTGCACATTTGTCAAAGAACATCTAGGGTGCTTCATGAAATGTTTTGTAAAAAATATGTTCATTAAATTTCAACACTTTCCAAATATTCTGGTGCTTATTTAGACCAAAACAAAGGAAATACATGTTACTTTGCTTATTAATAGCAGAGTATGGAAAATTTTCATGTTCCGGCTCACTTGACATCTACTGAGGCCGTATGTGGCCCACAATGTGAAATGAGTTTGACACCCCTGGTCTTAAAGATAATATTGCTCGCCGCCATGTTCAATCAACACGTCACTAGACAATCGTAACGTGTGCAAATGTTGAACGAAACTGCACAATCATTTACACGCACACCGGCAGCCAATGTAATGTATCTAGCGTCAATTCTGAAAGAATAAAGCCATACCGTTTCCAGCCAAAACTATGAAATCCGTCTACCAAGTGATATTCCACTTTGGGTGTGAAAGATGCAACCTAAGACGCTCTATTTATTTTATTTTTTTTTTCTTGCCACAAAACACAGTTTGGAGAACTTGCAATCCAGGAAGTGATCTTTCGCCCACGAGCCACAAAACACAGTTTGGAGAACTAGCAATCCAGTAAGTGATCTTTCGCCCACGAGCCATAACAGCATGAGCAACGATGAAAAATGGAAAGATGTATCCCTCAACGGCTTCATTAACAAGTGCGGCTCCACTCGTTATGTTCATAAGAGCCGTAGCCATAACAGCGGCGGCACTGGCGACTCGGATCCTCCCTCGGGCCGTGAAGCTGGCTCTGGCATTATTTTCACCTGCGCGGCTGTCTCATTTCCAACTGTATTCCCGATCCTTGTCCCGGAAATGTTCACAAACGTGTGCCAAGCCCGCCTATATTGTTTGTCTACTGCCTGCACGGGATCGACAAAACTTGCATAAGTACACTTTGGAAATTTTTGCTCCGCATTATGACATAGTTTTTCTTTGCGTCCTCCTTGTTGTCCAATTTGTGTCTATTGTCTAGCAGTAACGTAAACACATTACATCTCATTGGAACTATCATGGACGTACCCGTGTGTGGAATATGTTGTCATAAAAGTGAAATAAATCAATAAAGAGGTGCATTTTGCGTTTTAACAAGCTAAACGAATTAATTGCTGCCAATCGCTATACATGAAAAGCTAACAAAACCCTCCTTTAATTGTGTTGGGACAAATGCATGCTTCCATTTTTGTGGGGACGGTTCAATAAGCTATACATGAAAAACTAACAAAACCCTCCTTTAAATGCATGCTTCCATTTTTGTGGGGACGGTTCAATGAAGATGCTTAACTTGGAAGTTACAACTGAAACCTGTACCAGTTGCGTACTTTTCTTACCAAAAACCCAGACAAAGCGAGAAGTGGGCTGTTATGAATCATTTTTTGGCACCCTTTGCAGTGGAAATGCTGATTAGCGAAACCAAATCAAACAAACTTTAGGAGGAAACAGGGGGCTAGGTGACTGTATGAATGAGAAATGGATATATTCAATGTACACACTTAAAATTGCTGGGTCAAATTGTAACCCAAAATGGGTAAAATAGGTGCCATTGCGTGGGGTCCAAAAGAGACAGAGCCAATGCTCGGTTATCCAGTGCACTGGCTTGAGGATTTGACCAAGCACATGTGGTCAAGATTTTGATCAAACAAGAGGGAAAAACTTTCCTCTCTCTGTCAGGGGTCGACACAGCAATTCACTCGCATGACATGTTTTGTTTTTTCAAATCCACGACAATACTCCCCCCACCCACAAAGAGAACATTTTTTGCCTCTCAAGCACAGTACACTTTCTTTAAGCACTGTTCAATTGTATTTAATTTAACTACAGTAAATCTGCTTTTTCCTAATAAAATCCCAGCCTCTGTATTTATTTATCTTTTCTGTATTTTACGTTTGGTGGTACTTAAAGAGCTATTTTTTGAACTGGTACTTGGTGTAAAAAGTGTGAGAACTGCAGCTCGGACAAAATAGGATTATCGTCTTGGACAAAGTTATTTTGTGTTCTTGTCAGATTTTTGTGATGATACGTCTCAATCATATCTGAGCATTTATTGGCCCGAAGCTAAGGCGAGAAGGAGGAGTTTTAAAGAGCACCACATGCTACTTTATTGCAGATTCTTATGCTGACCGCAATTTGAGAACCACTACGCTACAGACGTCCTTGAGATTACTGTATAAAAAGCCCTGTGATGAAACCTGTGATTTTCAGTTTAAGACCATACAATATGCTCTCAGCCAAAGTGTTATGCGTCTTCCACACTTGCCTATGTGATAAAAGGCCTCATTGTGGCCCAGTGGGCCCATTGTGAAAGCTGAGAGCGGAGTCTCTTCTTCTCCCCCGTCCTTCCTCCCCCTTTTGTGGTGATGTCAGCTCCTCCGAGGACTCCTCCCATCCACCTGAGCCTACTTTATAAAGCATAGTGCTCCTGTCTGGGCTGCACACACACACACACACACACACACACACACAAACGCACACGGCGTCAACTTCCTCAAGAGTTTCTCCGGCGTGACGTTGGTGGAAGAGCTGTAGGATGTCCGTCGGCCTGGAGTTGCTGGGCATCTCCCTGTGCATCCTGGGATGGATCATCGGCATTGTGGCATGCGCCCTGCCCATGTGGCGGGTGACGGCGTTCATCGGCAGCAACATCGTGACGGCGCAGATCATCTGGGAGGGCCTGTGGATGACCTGCGTGGTTCAGAGCACGGGCCAGATGCAGTGCAAGGTCTATGACTCCATGCTGGCCCTGAGCCAGGACCTGCAGGCCGCCCGGGCCCTCACCGTCATTTCCATCTTGCTCGCCATCATAGCCGTGTTGATCGCCATCACCGGCGCCAAGTGCACCAACTGCATCGAAGAGGAGCCCTCCAAAGCCAAGGTGATGATCGTCTCCGGAGTGTTCTTCATCGTGTCGGGCGTCATGCAGCTCATTCCCGTCTCCTGGTCGGCCAACACCATCATCCGGGACTTCTACAACCCCTTGCTGACTGATGCCCAAAGGCGGGAACTGGGCGCCGCGCTCTACATCGGATGGGCGGCTGCCGCCCTCCTGATCCTGGGTGGCGGACTGCTCTGCTGCTCGTGCCCGCCCAGGGAGGCCCGCTACAAGAATTCCCGAATGGCGTACTCGGCCTCCAGGTCGGCAGGAGGCCAGGGGGTGGAGAGGAAAGACTACGTGTGAGTGAGGACGTGGACACAAAGACTGGAAGGCCGTCGCCACCAGGAGATGATGAAAAATTCATGCATTCGTCGGTGTTGTGTATGTTTTTACCTAACTGTAAGTCTCACATGTGTGACTTGCTTACTACTCACTAAATGTTTCCCCCAACTGTATTGAGCCAAGGCTCATATTTTTTTAAGAAAAATCCCGTAGCCCATCACCAAACATGGATAGACAAGAACAGCTTTCAGGTGGAATTAAAAGAAATTTAAATCGGATTTGCTGTGAATCATTTTATACCATTCTGGCAGAAAATCTGTACTGAAATTGTATTTTTCTTCACCTTTAACAATTTCTTCCCAGCAATTCGCTTCTTAACATCAACCGAATGATAGCTGTACATTTAAATATTCGTGTGCCACAATTTTCCGTGTCTTCTGATTTTGTATTCATTTTGCCGTGAACATTGTATTTAACAATTAATTGCCGGGGCAATTATGTATGTACGATGAGGTGACGAGACTGTACATTTCAATTTTTTTTTTTTTTACAGTCATAACAAACCTATTGAGTATATTTGTGGTTTGATTAAATCCCATCGACTGGAAGAGCATTTCATTGTTTCGCCTGTCACTGTACATCGATGGCATAGATAGATGAGCAAAGATACATTATCGCCATTTTCGCCTCTAGAAACAAACAACACAGACAGAACTGTCGCTGCACCCGTGCTGAATGTTGGGATCCAGACTCCGTGATGTCGATGTTTCGTGAAGTAAACTTGACACAATCCAGTGGGCCTATGAACAAGGATGAGTTTGAATAAACCGTGCTGTAAGAGCATCATTAATCTCATCTCATGACACGTGTACAGTGATGCAATGTGCACTGATGTCCAGACTGCATCTTCTGACAATAAACATACTCATGTTTTACTTAAGGTAATGTGCTTTCCTTCTTGAAATTTTACCATGGCGTCTGACATTCAACAGTGGGCCATGGGATTGTTTCACAGGCGTTGGAGTAACCGCAGAGACCTTTGACGATGAATCATGGGACAACTACTCAAATAGAGGGCTTTCATTCACGAGAGGCGTGCTCGTTTGCAGAAAAAGTCATAAAGAAAGTGCACTCAAGCGAAAAGTATCACGTCGTCACTGAAGTAAACGCACTGGAAAATGTTCCTTTTTAATGAGAGGACACTGTGTACTGCTTCTACAAGGAAAGGACTGGATATTAATGAAGCAATATCCTTTACAAATCCAAAATGCAATAATGAACACATCGACTAATTTGCATAAAGCCGAAATAGTAAACTGTGGCAGTTGGAATAACAGGAAAGGTGACGAAGGCAATCGTAACCAACAGTTTCCATGTGCCTTGTGATAACTAAAGATTAAACAAAAACCTCAGAGGACAGATTTTTAAAACCAATTACAAAACGTACACTACCTCAATTGCAATAACATGAGTAAATGTAATCCATTACTTTTCACTGGTGCGAAATAATAACGGTTGCTTTGATTGCTAGCAAGGTATTATTCGTCTGACTCTTTCGCGAGTCAGTACTTAGTCGTCGCCTCCATTCAAATCATCAGCTCATCAGCAAGCTCTTCAGAAGCCTGATGAAAATCCTGAGGCTTTGAATCAGAGCAAGGAAACATCTCAAACCATGCGGGACAGTGGCCTTCGAGGCCCGAGTTGGCCACAAACTGTCTAACTGTGATTAGATGATTAGAAGCACCTCTCAGTGTGATAATATTAATAAACAGTGTCAACGCTCTTTTTATGTTTGTTCTTCATGAACAGCAATCATATTGGGCATGTTTAAATATCTTAAAGTGCTAGAATTTTTTTTGTAATATTATATATACAGTATGTCACCATTTTATGGAGCCCCTAATGTGACATGGAAGAAAAACAAAAAAACCTTCACGTTCCCTCACAAAGATTGCAAGATCATGATTCAAAAAAAAAAAAAAAAAAAATGCACGTTTATGGACTTCCGGGTCATCTTCCGGGTAAATGAAAGCAACAAAAATGGAAAGTTTTTCACCGGTGGGCGAGCTTAATCGCATTTTACTTTGAAATTGGTTTGAAATGCAAAGACATAAAAATCTCTTCTCAATCTTAAGCATAAGCGAAAGACAGGTAAAGCGTACTGTCGTCTCTCAAAAAGCTGCCCGTGAGAGGCGACAGTAGCCAAACTGACTCGGAAGTACATAAACATGATAAACATGCATTTTAAAAAAGGCGTTCCCTTGAGAAAAAAAAAAGCCTCATTTCACAATCATTGCGAGGGAACACAAACATTTGCGAGATGACGCAAAGTTGTTGGGTTTTTTTTTTCCTCCATGTCACCTTAAGGGCTCTGTACCAATTCAACACACAGTCAGGCATATCATGAAGATTGTGTCCCTAAGTGGCCTGTGAGCGTATATGTGGTTGGAGTCAGCTTGTCACACCCAACAGGTGGCAGGATTCTAAAATATTGATGGACGACAGATAGACAAGTGTGTCGAGTTACGGCCGTGTATCGGCGTCGACAAAGACTCGGTGTGACGTGGCCACTGTAGTTAAAGAGACGCTGCGACAACATCAGCAATACATGGCCAAGAAAACACATCCCATCAAGTCCAAGTGAAATAATAGTAACTACAGAATGTGTAACGTGTGAATGCTGATGTCGCTGAAGTGAAATCGATTCAATTGCCGAACTGTAGAAACTCCACATTAGAATGGTCTGAGTCAGCAAAGAAATGTGGAAGTAGGAGGTCACTATGTAAAATAATTCTTCATTTTGGAATTTTGCCGTGAAAATATGGGAATTTGCACAATATGATAAAATAGAATTGGCAAAGAAATATGAAAGAATGGTGCCAATCTGTTGAATGCATTAAGTTGAGAATATTGACCTGGGAAATGTGGAACAATGAATAATGTGGGAAATCTGGACATGTTCTCAAGATGCCCTGAATGAGTTGAACAATGTGAATTCGGAAAAATGTCCCCATTCGTTTCAATGGGATTTTTGTTTTCATGGAAAATGTGGGGAAAGTGCAATGGCTTGAATCGTTTGAGGAATGTGGAAGGGAAAGAGGGATTAAAAAAAAGTCGCAGAATAGTAAATTGGAATGCTCCTTTGGATGACTGAAACAGTTAACAGGTGTCAATAAAAGGTAAATGATTATATGATTAACTTAAGTATTATTATCTTCCCCCCCACCCATTTTTAATTAAATCGAGAATATGATGCCCAAAATGAAACAACAGGACTAGTTTGCATGCAAACAGGACACAATGTGCTTAATTTCCTGTCCTTTTGCCCTGTATAGTTTATGTATTTTCTGTATATGTGTGTGTGCGCGCACGTGTGTGTTTGTGATCCACTGACTCGAGTCAGACCCTCAGTCATGTTTAACCAGCGTCGAGGTAATCATTGACTCTCGCCGCACAAAAGACAATTAATTCCCAACGGATTTCAACAGTACGATTCAATTACACTCAAGCATTTTGTTTTGATCCTAAGTATGAATTCTAACCTAATGTACATACAGTGAGTGTATGTGTTTTAGTCATTTTAGATGAACCTCTGGTCACGTTAGGCTGGCTCCGGCCAAAGGAGGCTGCTGACAAGTGGTCACATGACCGAAACTGGGGAATGTGGAGGGCAGAGACGTTGCCTGGCACCTGAAGTTGGAATGAAAAGGAAAGCCCCCACCCTGTCTTCCCCTCCCCCATCTCCAACTGCCAGCGAAAATACACAAGCACACTGTGTCTTCTCACAAAGACTCAATAAACATGCTCGTCTACAACAGCAAGAGTGCTACTTAATGCTATCGAAGCCACAAATCCTGTTTTAGTTAAGTCTGCTAAGCTTAATGCTAACAAACAATGCAAACTGCCATAGATAGCTAATGAATACCAAAGAATATTTGAACACAATCGTGGCAGCTGCACACATAGCGAGATCATATAATACTACTCGGGGGCATATTCTTTATCTTCCGCAAAGAACAACTAACATGACTGCGGCATGCTGACTCCTCATCATGTATATCCGCAGGTTTGGTTTATACTGCCAGCACATGGCAAAGCCTTGAACATCAGAAGAGTAGCACTATGTAAAAATTTAGGTGTCATTATTGTTTAACATTATTTTCTTATTTCAAAAATATGTTAGAAAAATCTGACTGCTGTTCTTGAACAGATTCACAAAATATAACATCTTATTCTCATTCTGCTTTTTTAACTTTAATCAAGGGTGCTCCACAAGGTTCAATGCTAGCTCCTGTTCCATTCACTGTCTCTATCAATAACATCAGATCCTCCATAACAGACTGCAGTGCTGCTGATCTTTACACAGATGAAACAGTACTGTATTGCTCTTTCAACACTGCAAACAGTGCCATTAAAATCTTCCAACAAGCCTTTGGCAGACTAAAACAAGCACTTTTCAACCTGAAACCTCCAATGCAGATTGGACCAAAAACATGATTTTCTCAAAGGCAAGAATCATTAAAAAAAAAAAAAATCAGTCCATCGGCGCATAAACAGGATGTCGTCTTAAAAGATTCACAGAACACAAACAATTGGGCATCTGGTTAGACCAGAAGAGTTAAAATTTCAAAATTCGCATTGACATACTCAGGAAGAAACGGAAGCAAAGATCGAAACAAAACAAATTTCGCCCTGCTGTGGAGGAAACAGCTGGTGGAAGCAGCCTCTTCAACTCTTTTGTATTATGGTGACATTATCAACAGACAGAAAACTGTTTTTCACTCTGAACTGAAATCCATCTCTGTGGAAAGCTACTCCACCCATCACTCAACTTTAAATCAGAAGGTGGGATGGAAACCTTTATCAGTATGACGAAATATGTACTGGCGCATTATCGGTGAAAAAGGAACAAACGGCAACCTGCCACTGTACATTGGCACGTTATTAAGCTGGTCTCAAAATAACCACCACGCATCAACGTGACTAATTCTGCTCAAAATTCTCTGGAGTAAGACTGAATAGTAAAAACACTTTTCGTTTTTTGGCTGATTCTTTGGGGGAGATTTTAAAAGAGCAAATTTTGGCCAATTAATCGGCCGGGCCTTACTTTGGAGAATAAAATGTACAGTATTTTGTTCAAATGATTCATGATTTTTATCATATATTATATTACACCGCTCCAGATGTGGCACAGTTGCGTGCTGCTTCATTGCCTTTTTGTACTGTTGGTTTCTTTTTATTGCAAGGTGATAAAGGGTGAGTTGGAGTGCATCTGTCTCAACTGAAGGACCAAGTATCAAATGCAGGGCCTGCCACGGTTGTTCACACAATACGACTGTAGCAATTTGAATTCAGCTATTGATGTACGTACACAGCAAAAACAAATGTATGTTTGGAAAAAGTACAAATAGGAAGCACAAGTGCAGACAAAGAAAGGAGGACAGAACGCAGTGTATTGACTTTGTTGGGGTCAGAGTGTACCGACGTGTGTGTGTGTGCTTGACGTGTGTGTTTTCATACTTTTCAAGACATTTTCAAATCAACCCAGAAGATTTGTGGTGTTGGGTGGGGGGTGGTGGTGGTGGGGGGGGGGGGGTGTCTGGGTGTGTTCTT